AAATTTTCCACCTCTATGATGCCACTACTTCTTTTTCACACATTGTGCTTCTGACTGTATTATTGATCTGTTAATATCTTCTTCTGTTCAGTGGGCCCGTGATGAGTTTGAGGGATTATTCAAACAGCCACCAGAGAACGCCATGCAATACCTCCAGTGAGTTGCCTTCTTTGACATCCAAAAGTGACTATATGGCATGACTGTGGTTATCTAAATGTAGGATGTGCTCAAAAAGATTTCTCTTTGCATTAATACACAGAGATCATTACTACTTTCCACATCTATTAGTTGCTGGAGATGCCTCCAATTTTTTTTATCTCATTACCTGTAGATGCTTGTCAAAATTGTTTAACAGATATCTCAAACACGTCTACATAGAATATAATTTCCACTTTTAAAACTAAAATCACTTCAAGTTAGCGCTACTGGTTTTGAAACAACTTAAATCATTCTGTAAAAGGGCTCATTATGCTCCTTGTGGTACATTTGACCATATTTAAACTGGGAGGAAACAAAATCTCAATAATTGGTAACAGCTCTCCAGCTTATTGGATCTATGATCATTGTTCTTTCAGAGATCCTAAGTTCATGGAGCGTACTCTGAAGCTGCCTGGAGCTCAGCCTGTGGAGGTGCTGGAGGCTGTCTACAAGAGTCTCGTCACAGACTGCCCCCACAGCTGGGCCGACTGCGTTGCCTGGGCACGCAACCACTGGCAGTGCCAATACAGCAACAACATCCGTCAGCTACTGCACAACTTCCCCCCAGAACAGGTAAACATTGAGCTCACTGCTGGGTGGATATCAGTCTGGTGTTTCCACTCCCTATGTCTGGAATCGGCATTGCTTTGTCCCCATATATTTTTTTAGTTTCTTATATTTTTGACTACAGATATAACATCTTGTTCAGTTCTAAGCAGTGAGTAAACATTGTTTTTGCAATTGAAGTGAGAAACAACAAAATGAGCAGGGTGTTGCTCAGAGGCTGATTTGAGGAATGAGAACAGTTTTACTGCAGCTAAATAAAACCACAGAGACTTTAGTTGATGTCACTTCTGCATTCATCACACTATTAGAATCACCTGGTTTACAGCTTAAAACTCTCTGTGGAGGTCTGCAATTAAAAAGGTGGTAAAATAGTACAACCCTGTGATATAAACAGCACGGAAGGCCTTTAATAGACACTTGATCTCTCATTGGGGTTCTGTTTTCTATTGCCAATCTGAGTGAATCCACACCCCATGAACGGCACATAGACATATCGATACATCACATTAACAGCAAATAATGTAGAAGCTTTTTAAACTCTTGTTTATTTAATTAAGGCTAAGTGTTGTTTTTTTAAGATGCTGCAAATGTAAGGCACGGATGGAGTGCCCTGATTTAACTGACCTTTTATCTCTCCTCACTTCCTGTCATTTCTCTATTTTCTGTCTTTTAAAGGAATACAATGAGCCACTTTTTTTGCATTTCTGTGCTTGTATTGCAAGTTTATCATCTGTCTTTCAGCTCACCAGCTCTGGTGCCCCCTTCTGGTCTGGCCCAAAGAGGTGTCCTCACCCCCTAGAATTCAGCACTAGCAATGCAAGTATCTGTCCATTATGTTTAAGTGCACATACTTGATACATTATCTGCTTTTAATGGATCTATCCAGATTCAGGTTAGTAACAGAATTGCTCCCCTTCTAGGAGCTGCACATGGATTATATTTTGGCTGGAGCCAACCTGTTTGCTCAGACATATGGCCTCCCAGGCTGCACTGATCGTGCAGGTGTGGTCAAGATCTTACAGGAGGTCAAGGTTCCAACCTTTACCCCTCGTTCAGGAGTTAAAATCCACGTCTCTGATCAGGAGCTACAGAATAGTAATTCCTCTGTTGGTAAGACGCTCAAATCTCTTAATGTCAAATTTAAGGCAAAGACTTGTTTATGTGAATGAGTTATAGTTTGCCATAGTCTGGCGTCATTCATGCTTTGAGGAGAATGTGACCACTGATCTCTTGGTATATTAGATGACTCAAGACTGGAGGAGCTGAAGGTCACACTGCCTTCCCCCGAGACTTCCCAGTTCAAACTCAGCGCCATCGACTTTGAGAAGGTACTCATTCTTTCCTCTGATATATGTTTGCATTTCTCTGTATTACCCACATGGCTGCTGTTGGTGCAGACTGTACTGAAACAGAACTAATGATGGTCTTTGACCTGTCGGTAACAGGATGATGACACAAACTTCCACATGGACTTCATAGTGGCAGCATCCAACTTGAGAGCAGAGAACTATGACATTCCCCCGACAGACAGACACAAGGTGGGGGATCACATTTTGTTTTAAAGCTGGCATTGTCTTTTATTGTTTTTATTAATGTTCTTTTACTGCAAGTTATGTCTCCTTCTGTATTTTAATTGCTGTTCTCCCTCCAACCCAGAGCAAACTGATAGCTGGCAAGATCATTCCTGCCATCGCCACCACCACGGCTGCCGTGGTGGGCCTGGTGTGTCTGGAGCTCATCAAGATTGTCCAAGGTCACAAGAAGCTGGAGTCGTTCAAGAATGGCTTCATGAACTTGGCCCTGCCTTTCTTTGCCTTTTCTGAACCTATTGCTGCTCCCAAACACAAGGTAAGCACCTGCTTGTTTTGAGCTGTTTAGATATCGAACAGTGAAACATGTCCCCACTGTGGGAAAATGTCCCTATTCATAGTATCCTCTCTACAAGGGTAACACTACATAGTCATTACATGTTTTGAGCTCCGATGATGATCCAGCCATGCTAATACTGATGCACCAGGCAGATGCAGTTTGCCTGCCTGGGTGCAAGTGAGTTCAACTCACCTTCTCACGCTGATGAGATCAGTGTGTGCTGAGGAGAATAATACAGTTTTTAAAAGCTTTCTATTTTAAGACTTGCCTTTTTTCAAAGGCAGTCAGTAGCTATCGTTAAATGTAAACGCATCGTGTCTTTGTGATCACTTTGTGTGACTGACGTCAGCATCTCATAACCCCCCACTCTTAATGTTTTTGCAGTACTATGAAATTGACTGGACGTTGTGGGATCGCTTTGAGGTCACAGGTTTGCAGCCCAATGGGGAGGAGATGACACTCCGACAGTTCTTGGACTACTTTAAAGTACGTTCTCATCAACTCACTTCCTCAGTTTGTTGCCATGTGATTTCTGGCCTACAATTAACAAACCCCATCTTTCTTCTGTTGGTCATTAGACTGAGCACAAGTTGGAGATCACCATGCTTTCTCAAGGAGTGTCCATGCTCTATTCCTTCTTCATGCCTGCTGCCAAACTCAGAGAGAGACTGGACCTGCCGTGAGTATTTATCATTACTGAGGCATGTTAAATGCTAGTGTTTAATCTGTTGCTATAACGGTATTTTTGTTTGTCCTGTAGGATGACAGAGATTGTGACTAAGGTGTCCAAAAAGAAGCTGGGAAAGCATGTGAAAGCACTGGTGTTTGAGCTATGCTGTAACGACCTGTCAGATGAAGACGTGGAAGTGCCCTATGTCCGATACACCATCCGCTGAGCTCCACACTCAACCCACCCACAGGACAGTGGGGGTTGCAGGGGGGAGACGGGTGGGCAGTGGTTGTTATAAGTGAGGATTGGGGTGGGTGGGTGAGTTGATCCAGGTCGGCTCTATTGGATCAATCAGTTTTCTGTTAGGCCTGTGGTTTGTGTAAACCTGTGCCTGAGTGTACATAGTCCCAGTAAGCTGACTTAAAGGATACCTGTATGTGTGTTAGGGATCCAGTTGGTGCTCGGCTGTGTGAACAGGGTGAGTCGTTGGAGGAAGGGAGCATGTATACTGGACCTCCTGATGTTTCTCAGTAGCAGAACCCCCTCTGCTCCATTGAATTCTACGCCTTCGTGTTCTCATGGTACTCCATAGCCCAACTAGTGTCCCTCTGAAACACCCTCACACTCTAACTAAGCTTCATCACTCGAGGACAGGTTTTTTAAAAACCTTCCCCTCCACTCTACCTGCTCTCTTCCTTCTTCCAACCCCATTTCTCGTAGACCTGCTCCCACATTACTGTTTTGTTTTCCCAAAAAGATGCAAGTAAAAGAAGTTCAGCAAAGAATTCCCAAAGTAGTGACACATGTATTGAGAATCCTTTTCAGAATCCCCTTAATTCTCTACCTGAAAGCTTGAGTTAAAAACTGAAGAAACGCCCAAAGACACGGTGAAACCCAAGTCAACGGCATTTTCTTACTGGAAAAATAATCACGCCAGCAGAATAGGGACCCTCGCTGGTTTGAAGCCTCCCGAACACACCCACCTCATCCAGCACTCTTGACTTTGGAGGGGCTCTTGCACATGACATCGGTTTTCTCTTTATATTTCATGTGTTTTGTTGTTTTCTATTTTATGTTTTTGGGGGGGTGAGAGTGGACGAAGGTTTCAAACACACAAACACCTTGTTAGATCATAAACTTTCTTCTTTCTACTTTGTTAACTCCAAATGACATTACAGTGTAAAAGCAAGGCAATGAGATGTATCTTGAAATGCGAGCACTTAGTGTGATAGTGAATAAACATGTAAAAGATATTTCTGAATTCGTGTGGTTATTCAAACTTTTAGAGTGTGTCTGGTGTAGCGCTGTAATGAAACTGCCAGAAATGTGTTTCCTGTCTGACCTGCTTCAGGCTCTTTAGAAGTTTCACAATAATGCATATCTGCAAACAAACTGAATCAGCTTAACGCCGACCTGAGAACTTACAACGAAAAAAAACCCAGTGAGATGATGGATGATTGATAACAGGATGCAGGAAATTCTCTCTTCCGGTGTTATTGAACAAATGCACCTATACTTAACTAGTTTAGTTTTAGAAGGGCATTGGCAGGTAGTATACTAGTCACTCATTTGTGTTATTTCCTCTTGTGGAAAACTTTTAATGTAAGTTCCACCATCCAGTCGAGTTCAAGCGACAAGTTAGAAGTTGAGTTTTGAATCGTCCTTCCTGAGAAGAGCGGATACATCAGTATGTGCAACCCCAAAGGATGTGGTCAGGTCTGAGATGAGGAAGAAGTGCGCGGAAGAAGTTTGACGAGCTCCCTGCAACAACTCGCTGTTCGTTACTGAATCAGTCAAATTTTGGATTAATTTTACATTATACAAAACGTTCTAATTTTGAGACTTGCCGTGATCGTGTGAAGATGCAGTGAGGACAAAGACATGATGGAAGTGGAGGACAGTGGTGAAGCGAGGACTTCCTGGTATGATTTCTGACATTCATCTTTAACTGTTAACACTGTGGGTCTACTCTGTTACTACTGGGAACTGACTGAGATCAAAATTATAAACTTAACTTTGTAGGAGGCATGGATGGTATTTGAAGTTGGCATCATGTTCTTTAAATGTAACTGATGATATTTATGTTATCTCATTGAACTGGAACAAAATCTTAACCTGCTGTAATCAATAATATTCACAGGGCACAAAGTAAACTCTGACAAATTCATACTTTTAGCACAAAGTATCATTATTGCATTCAGCTGCTTTTTGTAGTTTCTTTCATTTATCTCACGGAAAATAACACAACTGTGTGTGAGGTTGTTTGCTTTGTGCTCATCAACACTGTCTTTGCCACTTTTAGGTCTGTGGCACCAGCAGAGACGCACTCCATCCTCTATGACCATGCTGGGGTACGACGCACTATTTGTCTCATTACTCTCTCCTGTCTGAAACATGTCTTAACTCTCTCCTAGAAACCTAAAACCTCACTTCCACTGTAAATCTCTGCTTTTTAGAAGAAGAGAAAACAAGGCCCAGCTCCTGCACCTGTGATCAGGATCACAGAGGTGAGGATGGTGATCTGACATTAAACTCTTCATCTTCTTGCGTCTCTTTGCAAATATAGCGGAAGTCAGTCAACCATACCTTTGTGACCACAAACGCTGCATGCAGAGCTGAACATGATGTTCAGCTGTGCAGCCGCAGTATCTCTCTCTGATCTTTAAATCCTGTTGATATCACTCATGTCTTTCTTGTCTCTCATTTCAGCCATTATGATTTTACACTTTTCAAGGTTTAACTGTTTTGCTTTCATCGTGATTATGTCTCTTAACATTCACAGAAGCACTTTTATTGCAGATAATTCAAAGCATCTCACTTTGTTACAAATGTACAGCTGATGTGGTTTGTGTAAAATAAAATAAAAACCTTGCTGACATCTTGTATTTGGCTACAGAGGCACAGTTTCATCCTGATTCCTCTTTGAAAGTATCACAGGAAGCATGAGATGTGCACCCTGTAACCTCTCACCCCTCTCAGCATTTTTCTGGCTCCTCGCTCCTGAACCCCCCCAGTCTTTCTCCAACTCACTCTGTTCTTTCTTTAGGATGAAGAGGAAGAGGAGGAGGGCGAAATGATGTCCGACCACATGAAGGATTCAGAGGTGAGGTGTTTTCTTTTAATGTGCAGCCAGCAGTATTTTTGATTAAATATCCACTTTTTTATAATTTTAACACAAATTTAAAAAAATGCTTTATTGGCGATGTCATTGCAGGAGCCCAGTAATAAAAGGGTCAAACCTGTGGTGAAGTCGAACAGCCTAACAGGTGTCATAACACAATCCAAGACCCCTGCTCTGAAACGCTTTGGACAGTCCATTTCGGTAACAAACACAAAACTATTTTTTTCTCAAAAAAAAAAAGAATATGACATGCAGACACTCAACCACTGTGCTCTGTCCACAGCGATCCATTAGTTTCCGTACCGAGGCTCGACCTTTGCCCCCGGCTCCCCTTCGCTCTCGCACAAAGGCCTCGTCATTTCCACGCCGCCGCAGCAGCCAGTGCTGGAGTGACACCGTGGATAGTCACAACCTCACCGTCAAGGAGATAAAACGCCAGGAGGTGCGAGGGGGGGAACTGGCCATTCTGCTCGTGTGTTTAATATGAATGTGTGTTTAGACTGGATGGTATATGGATCAAGTTGTGGAGCTGTGGTTGCAGTGTGGGCGGGTGACCACTCTTCATTTCTGTGAAGCAGATCTTTACTGCGATTAGGAAAGAGGATGTGAGCTGGCAACAGAGGCTCAACTTCCTTTATTGAAGCAGCTCATGTTGTACAACTGTGTGTTTTCTACCTCATGCCAGTGTGTGTGTCTGTGTGTGTGTGTGCGCGTGCGCGTGCGCCACATGTTTGTGTCTGGTTAAACATGTGAAATGGTTCTTCCTGTAGGTGATCTATGAGCTGACTCAGGGAGAGAGACAGCTGATTGAGGACCTCAGTCTGGTTAAGAAGGTACTGTCCCTCTCTGCTGAGCTGAGGCAGAGCACGTCAACCACAGATTCATCCAATCATGTTCCTTTTCGCCACAGCACAGATAGTCTAACACTAAAATCCATTATCGCAGAAAGATGCTGCACATATTTTATGTTGCATATTGCAAAGATTTTGGACAAATTGCACAATTACACAACTTTTACATTTATACAAACATCCTTGTATATAATAATTCTATTTTATCTTATTTTTTCTAGATTCTGTTTCTTTTGTCTTATCCTTTCTTCTATTATTGTAGAATACATTGAATATATTTCAACCTCTCTTCTCCCATAACTTCTTAAACTTAATTTCACATGTCTCTGTACCTGACTTCACTCTCTCCTCACCTGCACCTCCTCCTCTCTGTGTGCTCTAAGGTGTACTATGAGCCCATGTTGAAGTTGGACATCATGACAGAGAGCGAGCTCGGACAGATCTTTGGAACTCTGGACTCTCTCATTCCTCTCCATGAAGGTAAAGCATCGCTCAGCATCACTCATCTCCTGTTACCTCAGTCTCTACTCACACATCAGCAGAACCTTTCCCAGTAACACAGGTTGGGCTGTGCAATAATTTAATATTATCAGTAGAAGACCTTTAGTGGAATCATATCTGCATCTTATGCCAGTTCAGTATCTATTTAAATCAGGGGCCACAATTTACACAGAGGGACCAATTAAATGTCCAAAATCCAAAATATTTATTTTGAAAATGTTCTGTTTTGTCTCATAGTTACTTTTAACAACATTGCTGAGCCTCATAAACAAGTTTGTAAAGTCACAAATGGAAAGAGGTCATAAGGTCACACAACTAAACTAATCTTTTCAGTTTATGAGCTTTGATGAGTTAAAAGTGATATTTTTTGCGTCACACTGTCTTCGAGCATCGGCTTTCAGTTATCATAAGTCGATAAGATTCTGTTTCTGTGTCATGTCAGATCTTCTGAGTCGTCTCGAGCGACTGAGGGGATCAGAGAATACAGTCGGACAAGTGGGATCTACTCTGTTGGACTGGGTGAGTATCTCCAAGGAGAAGAGAAGAAGGTCCAACCCGTCTTCATTCTCTCCAGTTCCTGTATTTTTCTAACCACAGAGTTCAGACTGTGTGCATCTCTGCTTTCATTTGACTTTGAATTTCTTGCCTCATTGCCACCCCCACCCTTCCCCTCTGCAGTTCCCTTGCCTGGAAGCCTACATTACATACTGCTGTAACCAAGTGGGGGCCAAAGCCCTGCTGGACCAGAAGAAGCACGAGAAGAGAGTGGAGCACTTCCTGCGCTTGTGCCAGGAATCTTCGTTCAGCAGAAAGCTGGACCTGTGGAACTTCCTGGATCTCCCTCGAAGCCGTTTGGTCAAATACCCACTGCTGCTGAAAGAGATACAGAAGTGCACTCCTCCAGAGCACCCTGACGAGGACACACTGCCCGATGCTGTGAGGATGCACTCTCTTACACATGCATTATTTAAGATAATACAATCAAGCATCAACCCTTAGACAGAGGGTTCAGAATTCACTCATTTCCATGGCTATAACAAATACAACAGTATACAGTACTGTATATGTCATTTATATCCACATTGTTAGTTTATGTAAGGTGTGTGCAGAGTCTGCTCCTTTAGATAAACCAGAAATCGGATGGAGCATGAACATTTGGCTGATTATAAAACACAAATCCAAATAACTGGATCTTAAAACCTTCCTCCATGTGCAAACTAAATATCAATCAGTATCAGAATAGATGTTGAACATTAAAGCTTCTTAGACAGTGGCTAAAATAGAGTAGCAAACCCCAACATTTGCATTCAGCCAAAATTTTCTTTTTAAATCTACAATTCTTCACACATTGTCACCTCCTTATGGCAGCAAGAGAAAATGGTTTGATGATACTCAAGATTCATCAGACAGTAATATTGGGATTTGCCATTAGTAATGTGATGTCTGTTGAGGTCCAACACAGACATTTCAACACAGAATGTCTCCGTCCCCTTTGTTTCGCCCAGTTGGAGCTTATCCAGAGAATCGTGGCCGAGGTGAACAAGAAGACAGGGGAGGCTGAGTGTCAGTTCTACAGACGGGGTCTCATCTATCTGGAGGAGAGCCAGAGAGTACCAGAGATCCAGCTGTCCCGCTTCCTCTACTGCCACGGAGAGCTCAAGAACCACAAGGGCCAGGTAGAAGCTCCCTGATGTTTCAACTCTTCATGGAGGGGTTCTCCTGGGGGGGGTTGTTTTGTTTGTATCTTAAATGAAGAGGGTCAATTAATTTAGAAATGATGCATAAAAATATATATACCTTAGCTCCTCTCAGTTCCAGTGTAGATTCATATTAGGGCCCTTGCATTACCCAGTATTTTGAAAATGCACTATCAACTTTATGTTGTCATTCTGTCATTAATATTTAATATGTATAAAAATGATGATCACAATATCTTAAAGGTCCAGTGTGTAGGATTTAGGTGAAAGGGATCAGAAATTAAATATTAAATAATCCTAGTGATGTTTTCACTCGTGTGTTTCATCTAAATTATATAAATTGTTGTTTTCTTTACACTAGAATGGAGCCTTTTTAATTAAAATACTTTATATTTACATCGGGAGCGGGTCTCTATAGAGGCTGCCATGTTTTTTACAGTCGTACAAATTGGACAAAGCTGCAATATGCAACTTCACCACTAGATGTCACTAACTTCTACACACTGAACCTTTAATAATAGGTGATTTTACTTTGGTTTTCCTAATGTCTGATTGGATACAGTGGTAATGAAACTCATAAATCTCATTAATCTCATTTGGTTTCCGTCTGTCAGCGGCTGCATGTATTCCTGTTTGAACTGGCGCTGGTGCTGACCAAACCGGGGGAGGACAAAGAGGGAGGTCAGGTGTTCCATGTGTACAGACAGCCTCTGCCCAATGCTTTGTTAAATCTGGAGGAGATCCCAGATGGGGAGGCTGGTGGAGGGGGCACCTTCAGAGGAGCCTTTACTGGGGGGAATGATAAAGGTAGCATATACAACACATCTCACATAACACCCATCAGCCGAAACTTTTTTCCCTCAACCTTTGCTCCAATTCAATTGAATTCCTTCTCTCATGTCCTAGTGAAGAACTGTTTCCGTGTGAGCAGCAGAGGGCGCTCCAAAGCCCACTCCTACAGCCTACAGGCCAATGACTCCTTTAGCAAGCAGCAGTGGATCACCTGTCTGCGCCAAGCCATCATCCAGTCACGGGAGAGGACGGCCCAGCACAGAATGTCGCAGGTCTCCTCTCACGCCGATCTCGCCCTGTATCACATAGCTGATCTCAGCCTCAGCTCGGACTCAGAAACGATAGGCCACTCCAGCTGCTGACTGTCAGACTGATCACCAGGAGGCCTGTGGGCGTCTCTGTCAACGTGTACATTGAAACAAGAGGATATTAAAGGGACTGCTTGCGAAGATGATTGTGCTTAGACACACACATAGCATTTCCAACATGGATTTTATTTTGTACTCCTTTTTTTTTAATCTGATGAATTGTGGTGATGTGTAGTGTACAGCTTGGGAAGAGTGAATGTAAAATGTTTTTTTTAAATAAACTGTCAATTAAAGATGCGTTGAGGTACTCATGCAAAAGTACACAGAGAAAAGTCTAAGTATAGCCAACAGGATATCCAGAGAAAAGATTAGAGATGATTATCCTCCCTCTCTCCCCTCTTCCCTCTTCCCTCTCTCCCTCTGACACTGGTGACAGGGCAGTAGAGACGTAGACCTTTAGCTGAAGCCTGCGGACACAGTGAAACAGTAGACGTCCCCTTATGCATTTTTAACAGCTCAGCAGGTGATGGGAACTGTTTGGTTGGGACGGTTTGTCCACAGATAGAGTGACCAAGTGATCAGGTGAGTCCAAACTGCTCTGTTTGTTTCCGGCATTTGTGAAAACGAATGTTTTCAGGATTTTACCCTCAACCTGCACTAAACTGCAACCGAGAGCATAGATACGTTTGAGAACATACCTTGACTATGAGGTTGACTCTTAAGTAACTTCAGTCTATAGTTTTACAGCTTAATCAATAACTACAAATCAGCCGTGTGCCTTCAACATGATTTGTTGGTATCTGTATTCTCTGTCAGGCCATGGCTTTTTCAAACTGCTCTGCTCTGTCTGCTGTAAATACAAAAGAGAATTTTGAGCCTGAGTGGATCAACTCGATCTATTCCAGGAGAGGATTTAGCCTTAAAAGAATGAATCCTGCTCTTTCACCGTAAGTTGAGAGGAGAGGAAAACACACCATCGTAGGTTTTTCATTGAAAAAGGGGGCAGCCGCTCTCTCAGAGTGCTGCGACCAAGACCCGCTCACCTTTGACCCTGCATGTGAAGTTGTTGCATCTCACTCCATCTGAGTTGCAAAACAATCTGTGTGAAACTTTCACATCTGCCCCAGGATCCCTTTTGGGTAGACACGTGTGAAGATAAGCAGTAAAGTAGGATGCCTGGAGCCAGTGGAGTCAACGTGGAGGGGTCGTGTGAGGCCCTGTGTCGAACTCTGGTGTCTCAGAACGGACTGCAGAGAGAGACGGCCGACATCTCCCAGTCTGTCCTCTACACCTCACTGATGGGCCTGCTTCTGGTTGCTGACAACGAGGTGTGCAGAACACACACAATACAGCAGAAAACCTTATGCCCTAACTTTCAAGTGTGGAAGCCTTGAATGATTGTTCTCAGTTCAGAATTAAGACACAGTCACACGATAAAATCATGTAACAGAATGAATGGAGGGTACATATGGGCATGCATGTGTTTTAGCACCTGTCAGCATTCCTTGGTCACTAATAGGATGAACGCTTGAGGCTGACCTCCTTTTAGCCTCTCTTGTTATGCTAATGAGATAAGAAGGCTAAATCTGTCCTACCAATATTACACACTCACTGACATGACAGTGTTAAAGCAGACACACACACACAGCACCATGGTGTACAGACACAGGCAGGGGTCAGAAAGGACACATTCAGCGAGGTACATGTGCACACTTTTTTTGTTGACAAATTCACATACAACTAGAAAATGAATCAGTAGTACCTCCACCAAGGCTGCAAAGGGGCGCACCAAATTTCACACACTTATTGATATCGAATTCCTGAATCAAGATTCAAGACATTATTTCCTGGGAAAGGTTGAAAATGTTTAAAAAAGACCTTATCACACAATGTTCATTAAAGGGGAAAACAACTTTTATGAGTTCTTTCTTGACTAATATCGCATGCATCTACCAAGTTTCGTGGTAATCCATCCAGCAGTTTTTGCAAATGAAAACATAACGGAGTATATATGCTTTCAGACTACCTGGTGTGCATTGTGCTCTTTTTATTTTCCAGAAAGAGCAGCTCACCTTAGGAAGTGGGAGGATCGGCCTTAGAAACATAGGAAACACAGTAAGCATTGATGCATCATGAATCCCACTGTATTACTGTACAGCCTGAAAACATTTTTGAAACATCGTTCTCACCTTCTGCTTTTACTTTGTCTCTGACTCAGTGTTTCCTGAACGCAGTCGTCCAGTGTTTGTCTCACACGTGTGGCCTCCGGGACTACTGCCTCCTCAAGTCCCACAGGCAGGAGAAGTTCTCCAAAGAGGAGGCGATGCTCATGGAGGGTACGTTTCAGTCTACTCATGTTCTCTCCTGATCTTCCCTCTTGCATGCAAATATTTTTTTTGCCATTTTCTCACCGCTCCTTGTCTTCCAGCTTTCTCTGAGGTGCTGTCAGGCCTTTGGGATGCAAATGAAGGACACACAGCTGTAAATCCACGACAGTTTTACAACAATTTTAAAGAAGCTGTGCCTTATTTCAGTGGTTACAGGTGAGAATGTTAATGATTTTTTTTCTTTTTTCTCAAGGTGAACTTCCTTTTGTTTTGGAGTTTTGTGGAGGCAACATTACTTCAGTGCATGGAAACATAAACTACTTTTATATTTATGAAGGTACACTCCATCTGTAAACAATTTAAACTAGACTAGACCTGCGACAGTCCTCTTATGAAACCACATTTAAATTGACTATTTCCAGATTTTGATTTGGACCTGCACCAAATTGCACACATTCATAAATATCAGTCTCATAAATAAACTTTTTTTTCTTCATTCGTGATTAATGAAAATGTTAAAAAACGTCCAATCTCACATTGTAAAAGTAAAATCCTGGATCTGCCACCAGATCCTCACCAAAATATATTCAGCTCTTGAATCATTACACCTCCTTCCATCAAGTTTGGTTCTAATGCGTTCATTAGGTTTTGAATAATCTTGCTACAAACAAATAAAACAAAGCATCTAAATAACAGACAGATGTAAAAATACAATCTTCTATATAGGGATGGTTTCTCAGAGACTTTTATAGAAGTAGCTGCCTGCAACGGTGACCTTCTGAAATCTCTCTGTGTTTAACTCACGCAGTCAACAGGATGCTCAGGAGTTTCTCAGGTTCCTGTTGGACAAACTTCACACAGAAATCAACCGCAGGCCGTACGTTCGACGTGCAGGAAAGGACCCCGAACCAAAATATGCCAGGATTAGGTGCGTATGTTTATTTTGGAAAGATTCTATCATTAAAATCTAAAATGTCCTTTTCGTGACCACGTTCTCATCATCTCTTAACCTCTTATTAGACTTTCAGAAGAGGCAGTTGCCATGTGGAAGAAGCACTTAGAGAGAGATGACAGCAGAATAGCAGGTGAGGAGAGAAATCTGATCAGAATCATCTGTCAGTAATATTGTTTAAATCCACCACTGATATATCTTGGTACTTTCTACCCCCCCCATCAGACCTGTTCTCGGGCCAGCTGCGGAGCTCGCTGCATTGCTCGGTGTGCTCGCACTACTCCAACACATTCGATGTGTTCTGTGATCTGTCGCTGCCCATCCCCAAGAGGAGCTTTGCCGGGGAGGTAACGCTGAAGGAGTGCCTGGATCTCTTCTCTCAGGAGGAGAAACTGGACAAGGAGAATTCACCAGTAAGTTGATGCAGAGAGAACAAAAACAGACTATGTTATATCAGTGTGTCAAAGTTCAGCAGCACTGACAGTGTGAGCTGGTAACGGTTTCATTCAAACCTACATTTATTTTATTTGTTTGTTTTATTCATTCAAACTCTTGCTTTTGAAAATGTGGAGTAAATGTAACTGTAGATAATATGAAAAGCCATCATTGATTACATTATTGTTCTCATTTGTCTACTCTGCTGTTCGACTTGAAAAAAGATTGGCAACGGCTTTCTTTTAGTTTTTTTTTTATCTTTCTGTGTCTGTTAACAAAATCAAAACATTGTGGTAGAATGAAAATTAATTTTAGCAGAGGGAGGAAGGAAGGAATTCAAGATGTCTTTGTCAGACCGGGAGAAAGGGCCTCAACAGCTAGTCACAGCCCGAGTCTGGAGGCTGAACACTGAATACACCCAGGGAGCCAACCGAAGTTCCCAGACCACATTGCGAGGAACAACACTCAGGCCAGATATGGTTTTAACATTAGAGTCGTCCAAGCAGGTGGTCACGATGGAGCTCACTGTCCCATGGGAAGACCGGATGGAGGAGGCCCATGAGCATAAGAGGGCCAAAAATCTGGTGCCTGGTGAAGGAGTGCAGGAGCCTAGGTTAGGGTAGAGCCACCAAGAACATGATGGAAGCTGCAGAAACAGCTTCAAGGTGGCTGTGGATCAGAGGAACCATGGCGCAGTAAGCTACTTGGACACAAGCCGGGGACTGATCACCCCCGGCTGGGTTCACCCAGATGAGGGTGTATGGCGATCGATGACTTGAAACACCCTACGACCTTGGGCTCCTCACTGATGATGTGTCCAAGTTGCACCAGCTGGTGTTTTAAGGAACACGAAAAGGAAAATATTTGGTCTGAGAATCGATTTAAAAACAGTTGTAAGGGTCAGGCACCAAGAAATACTTTCTCATGAACAAGTATTTACGTCATAGTTAGGTAAGAAATGTATTTTCCCGTAGGACAGATGAGTCATAACTACTTCAGTGGGTTTCTTTGTAAGCCACTGAAACCTTGAATCCATTTTTTTTTTCTCATGATGAGATAATCACTAACAAACAAATGATTATCTATTGTTATTCAGAGATTAAGACTCAAAATGGAAATTCTGTTCCATTAAAGTTAGTTGACAGTTGCCTTGAGTGGCGGTGGAAACATTCACAAACAAACTTACAGCTGTCGTCACCTTGTGACTCAACTGCTAAATTCTCATTGCTGCATACTAGACATACTAGTTTAACCACACCCACCTCACAGCAATAAAAATGACACAGACAACACAAGAGAAACTTTCATGTGAATCCAAAACTGTTTTATCCTCTGCAGAAGATTCCTTATCCATTTAAGACCTCATCACTGAGTGACATGTATTTTCAATATTAGCATCTCGTTGTGTTAAATGTTTGTGTGTTTCTGTTTCTTGTGGGTTTCAGATGTGTGAGAGGTGTAACAGGCGTACAGAGTGCACCAAGCGACTGTCCATCCAGAGGTTTCCCCAGGTTATTGTGATCCGTATCCTTG